ACAAAGCTCGTTTAGAGTTGATCAATGAAGCTCAAGGTAAGTCAATTTTGTAACCTCAAATTAAATCAGCAAAAACGTTTCACCTGGTTAGTCTAAAAACATTTGTTGACCTGTCAGCAAGCTTGATCATGATCAGCAAGCAAGAAGGAGAGATCTGGCGATTCTTAATAGATAAACCCAACAATCTGGGGAGGTCTTGACCAAAAACTTAAAGATTCATGGTAGAAAATATGATAGGCTTGATAGCAGAAGCTAAAAGAGATGTAAATAATTAAGCTACAATCAAGCTTTCGCAGAGAGTGCAAGAGTGCAGAGCATTTTCTATATCAGTTCGCTACGAAACGTTCTATGAAGTATTGGGGAACGTGTTTTCTTGACAAGCTTGAAATAATTATATTTGTAACTGCTTTGCTTTTTTTTATTGCTTTATTAGAAGCTACTAGCCTTGGTGACGGAAAAAGGATTCGGAGAAACTCTGATTCACATGTGTATTCCGGAACAAAAGAAGAAGTGCCACTGTTAAAGCTAAAACACGCCGAGACCGAGGAATTGTCTCCAGAGATTCTAGAGGCATGTGATCCTGAAGAGGATCCTGAGGAGAAAGCTACCTTTTTGAAACAAAACGAAATATGGAAAGGTGAGGAACTGATATTATAAATTAAAGTTTTCAACAATGATGAGCTGGCTACATGATCCAAGTTTGAATTTCATACCGGTACGTGTTCGTCCCATCTCCCTACTGATGCGAGTTCGTCGCTCTATCAGGTCGAGCGTTATCCTGAGAAAAATCCCGCCGCTATTTTGGCAACTTCGCATACTCTATTGCTAGAGGCCTACGCGGCCTAAGCGGCCTAACCAGCCCAAGCGAAAATAAAGTTCTGTAAGTGTGTTAAATCATGTAAACGAAGAACAGCGGCTCATTTCNATTCCCTCTATCTTATCCTTCCCTAACTGTCGATCCAGTGAATAAAATACTTATCCGTAGAGTAAAAACACAGGGTACTGTTGTCTGATTGGCTGATTTGTTACCCTGGTACTCAGAGTCCTACTGAGCGCGCGTTGCCGAAATCTTAAAACCAAAGATGGCGTCCGAAAGGGCAATGTAATTTCACGTTCACTTTGCTTCATCGCTTGTTGTAGAGTTTTAGGTAAATGTGCAGTTTTTTTTACTTTGTCCTCTTTTTCAGAATGGCAGGAAAATGTAGGGCGGGAAAGCTCAAACTTTTCACAGGTTACCGTTTTCGCTTTTACTAACGAGCAACTGTTTCCCTCGTGGCTTCTTGTAGCTGGTTGTAGGGAGGAAAAATGTTCCGCAACAAAGACAAAAAATGTGTTCTAACAGCGCATATGTAAAGCTTAGAGAAAGGGTAGTGTGTAGAAAGTGCTGCTGTAAGTTAATTAATAAGAGTGCAAGGGTGGTATAGTAACAAAGGAGTTTGTTATATCTTCTTAATTGATTCAATACATGTATCGATCTGTAATAGACCAATTTCGATATATTAAAATTCCGCCTAAAACAAGTTGCCAGACATTTTCTACATCAATTTGGCGATTGACAAATATCATGTATGTACGTACAATATAGTTTTCCAGTAGGGGGCGGGAAGAGGGGAATCTATGTTCCTCTGATTCCCCCAAAATGTCGCTTTCTTCTCCTTTGCTTTTAACTGATAAATTTCTTTGTTTCCTAATATTCAACGTCGACGTCAAAGAACAGGAAAACGATAATTTTCATAATGAGACTTCTGGTCTCCCTGCCGCGCTGGTTACCTGGCAGGATTAACATAATCCATGCAATCTCTTACCTTTATTATGTTTTTTTTTTTTTAAGAAACTTCAAGCATTGGTGAGGGAGAAAGGCTTCGAAGAAACTCTGATTCAGCTTTATTTTTTCGACCTAAGGAAGAAACACCAGTGTTGAAGATAATGAACGAGAGAATAGCAGTTCTAGAGAGAAGAATCGAGCAATTGCCTCCTGAGATTCTACAAGCTTGCAGTCCTGAAGAAAAAGCTACTAAATTTTCGAGACAACAGGAAAGTTGGAAAGGTAATAATTAATATTTTACAGAACGCGGCGCTAAACGTTGCTGTCAACCTCGACGGAGTGTTTTATTACGATACAAGAATGAAAGAAAAGCATTAGGCGTAACTTGTGTTTTTATGACATTCAAAAGGTCTCGTAGAATTAAACACCCAACACTAGTCGT